CAGTGGGCAAAAATTAAAGCCATTTCCCCTAAGAACAGGAACAAGACAGGGATGTCCACTTTCATTACTGTTATCCAATATAATACTGAAAGTCCTAGCCACAGTGATCAGACAAGAAGAAAACATAAAAGCCATCCAAATTGTAAAGGAGGAAGTAAAACTGTTATTATTCACAGATGACATATTGTACATAGAAAACCCTAAAAATTCCACCAAGAAACTACTAGATTTGCCTGCTGACATGGCTCCATGGTGAGCATCCACCTAGAAACCAAGAGGTCACTGGTCAAGGCACATGCCCGGGTTGCAGGTTGCAGGCTTGATCCTCGGGGGTGTGCAGGAGGCAGCCGTTCAATGATTCTCATCATTGATGTTTCTATCTCTCTCTTCCTCTCCTTTCCTCTCTGAAATCAATTTTTTTAAAAACTACTAGACGTAGTAAATGAATTCAGCAATGTAGCTATATACAAAATCAATACCCAGAAATCAATGGCATTTTGATATACCAAAAATGAATTCTCAGAAAGAGAAACTAAAAAATCAATCTCATTTACTATTGCAACAACAACAACAAAAATAAGATACTTGGCAATAAACTTAACCAAAGAGGCAAAAGACCTATACTCGAAAAACTACAGGACGTTGAAAAAAGAAATGGAGGAAGATATAAACAAGTGGAAGAATATACTGTGTTCATGGATGGTAGAATTAACATCGTTAACATGTCCATATTACCCAAAGTAATCTATAGATTCAATGCAATCCCTATTAAAATGTCAATGGCTTATATCACACATCTAGAACAAATACTCCAAAATTTATATGAAATTAAAAAAGACCCCAAATAGCCACAGCAATCATGAGAAAGAAGAATAAAGTTGGAGGGATCACAATACCAGGTATCAAGCTATATTCTCAAAGCAACTGTTCTCAAAACAGCCTGGTACTGGCACAAAAACAGGCATAAAGGTCAATGGAACAGAACAAAGAATCCAGAAATCAAACCAAGCCATTATGCTCAATTAATATTTGACATAGGAGGTAAGAGCATACAATGAAGTCAAGACAGTCTCTTCAATAAATGGTGTTGGGAAAATTGGACAGATACATGCAAAAAAATGAAACTAGACCACCTACTTACATCATCCACAAAAATAAACTCAAAATGGATAAAGGACTTAGTCATAAGACAGGAAACCATAAACATCCTAGAAGAAACCATAGGCAGCAAAATCTCAGACATCTCTCATAGCAATATGTTTACTGAAACATCGCGTAGGGCAAAGGAAGCTAGGAAAAAATAAACAAATGGAACTGCATCAAAATAAATAGCTTCTGCCCAGCAAAAGAAACCATCAACAAAATGAAAAGGGAGCCCACTGTATGGGAGAATATATTTGGCAATGATACATCTGATAAAGGGTTAATATCTAAAATATACAAGGAACTCATGCAACTTAACAAAAGAAAGACAAACAGTCCAATTTGAAAATGGGCAAAGGACCTAAATAGACACTTCTCCAAAGTGGACATACAGATGGCCAAGAGACATATGAAAAAATGCTCAAAGTCACTGATCATCAGAGAGATGCAAATTAAAATTACAATGAGGTACCATCTCACATCTGTCAGAATGGCTACTATCAGCAAATCAACAAATGACAAGTGCTGGCGAGGATGTGGAGAAAAGGGAACCCTAGTGCACTGCTGGTGGGAATGCAGACTGGTGCAGCCACTATGGAAAACAGTATGGAGTTTCCTCAAAAATTAAATATGGAACTGCCATTTGACCAATGATCCCACTTCTAGAAATATATCCTAAGAAACCCGAAACACCAATCAGAAAGAATGTATGCAACCCTATGTTCATAGCAGTGCAATTTATAATAGTTAAGATCTGGAAACAGCCCAAGTGCCCATCAGTAGATGAGTGGATAAAAAAGCTGTGGTACATTTACACCACGGACTACTACACAGCAGTAAAAAAGAAGAATATCTTACCTTTGAGACAGCATGGAGGGGCCTGGAGAATATTAAATAAGCCAAAGAAGCCGGTGAGAGAAAGGCAAGTATCATCACACGATCTCACTCATATGTGGAATCTAATGAACAAAATAAACTGACAAAACAAAATAGATCCGGAGATGTAAAAGCATGGAAGAGACTTGGACTCTCAGGGAAGCAGGAGTGGGTAGGTGTGGGTGGGGAGAGATTAACCAAAGAATCTATATGCATAAGCTACGGATACACAACCCGTCCATTGTGTAGTGAAGGCCTGGGGTGGGGGCGGAGAGGTGACAGGTGGAGGAGGGCAATGGGGGGGGAGGGGACATCTGTAATACTTTCAACATTAAAGATAAATTTTTAAAAATACTTTATTGCAACAAACTCACAGATTAAAAATATTAAGTTTCACTATAAAAAATACTTTATTGCTAAAAAAATGCTAAGCATCATCTGATCCTTCAGCGAGCCGTGATCCCTGTGCTGGTGGAGGGTGCTGCTTTTATGTTGACGGCTGCTGACTGAAGACCGCGGTGGCTGTGGCACTTTCTTAAAATAACACAACAATGACGTTTGCCACATTGATGGGCTCTTCCTTTCATGAATGCTTTCTCTGTAGCGTGCAATGCTGTCTGATAGCATTTTACCCCCATAGAACTTCTTTCAAAATTGGAGGCATCCTCTCAAACTGTGGTACTGCTATGTCAACTAAGTTTCATGCTCTAAATCTTTTATCATTTCAACAATCTTCACAGCGTCTTCCCCAGGAGCAGATTCCATCTCAAGGAACCACTTTCTTTGCTCATCATAAGAAGCAACTCCTCATCCTAAGCTTTCTCACGAGATGGCAGCACTCAGTACATCTTCAGGCTCCACTTGTCATTCTCGTTCTCTTACTGTTTCCATCACATGTGCAGTTACTTCCTCCACTGAGGTCTTGAACCCCTCAAAGTCATCCATGAGGGCTGGAATCACCTCCTTCTAACTCCTGCTAATGTTGCTGTTTTCACCTCTTCCCGTGCATCATGAAATGCTCTTATGGCATCTAGAATGGTGGATCCTTTCCAAAGGTTTTCAATTCACTTTGCCCGGATCCATCAGAGGAATCACTGTCTATGGCACCCATAGCGTTACAAAATGTAATTCTTAATGAAAAAGGCTTGGAAGTGGAAATTACTCCTTGACCCATGGGCTGAATGTTGTGTGAGCAGTCATGGCAGCAACACTACTAGTATCTCATTGTACATCTCATCAGGGCTCTTGGGTGACCAGGTGCATTGTCAGTGAGCAGTACTATTTTGAAAGGAGTCTTTCTTTCTGAGAGTGGGTCTCAGCAGTGCACTTAAAAGACGAGTAAACCATGTTGTAAACAGATGTGCTGTGTTGTTCCATTTACAGGCAGTGTAGATTAGCATCCTTCTTAAGAGCCCCAGGATTTTGGAACGGAAAGGGAGCACTGGCTTGGACTTCAAGTCACCAGCTGCATTAGCCCCTAACAAGAGAGTCAGCCTGTCCTCTGAAGCCAGGCACTGACTTCTCCTCTCTGGTTATGAAAGTCGTAGATGGCATCTTTTCTCAAAAAGGGCTCCGTTGTCTGCAATGGACTATGTTGCTTATTAATCATCTGAGCTAGATCTTCTGAATAACTTGCCGCATCTTCTGCATCTGCACTTGCTGCTTCACCGTGCCCTTCTATGACATGGAGATGCCTTCTTTCCTTAAACCTCATAACTCAACCTCTGCTACTTCCAACTTTCCTTCTGCAGCCTCCTCACCACTCTCAGCCGCCACAGAATTGAAGAGAGCAGGGCCTTGCTCTGGATTAGGCTTTGGCTGAAGGGAATGTTGTGGCTGGTTTGATCTTCTATCCAAACCAGTAAAACTGTCTCCCTATCAGCAGTAAGGCTATTTCACTCTCTATCATTCATGTGTGCACTGGAGTAGCTCCTTTAATTCCCTTCAAGAACTTTTCCTTTGCATTCACAGCTTGGCTAAATGTTTGGTGCAAGAGGCCTAGCTTTCAGCCTACCTTGGCTTTCAACGCCTTCCTCACTAAGCTTAATCATTTCTAGCTTTTGCTTTAAAGTGAGAGTCGGGCGACTCTTCCTTTCATTTGAACACGTAGGGTGCATTGTAGGGTATTAATTGACCTAATTTCAGTATCATTGTGTCTCAGGGAGTAGGGAGGCCCCAGGAGAGGGAGAGAGACAAGGGACTGGCCAGTCTGTAGAGCAGCAAGAACATAAACCTCATTTATCTATTAAGTTCACTGTCTTTTATGAGTGTGGTTTGTGGTGCCCCAAAGCAGTTACAATAGTCACAGTACAGATCACTGATTACAGACCACCATGGCAAATACAATGACGACGATGATGATGATGATAATATAATTTGAAATATTGTGAAAATTACCAAAAGGTAATTACAATTACCTTTCTGTGACACAGAGACACAAAGTGAGCAAATACTGTTGGGAAAATGGTGCCAATAGACTTGCAGGATTGCCACAAACCTTCAATTTGTGAAAAAATGCAATATCTGCGAAGCACAATACAGCACAGTGCAATAAAGTGAGGTATGCCTGTGTTAACTATACGGTTAAAAAAAATAGAGTATAGGAAAAAATAGAAGCATTAGTGGAATGTTCCACTAGCAGTTATCCAGTGAATTCAAGTAAGTGCCAGGCACTCTCCTACATGCAGTTCATAGTTATTTCATTTGATCCTTACAACACATATAACAGGTAACATCCTCACACCCATTTTACAGATGAGGAAAGTGAGGCTCACAGCTAGCATTTGAACCCAGGCTTGCTGATCCTTTGGAAAGTCCAGGCCTGACCAGAGGCCTTGGCACAGCCATGAGCCTGGAGCCCCTTGCACCTTCCTCACCTGTCACTCCGCTCAGCACTGGAGTTGTGGCCAGGCTGCAACTCTGGCAGATGCCAGGGAGAGCTGCGCAGCCAAGAAAGTGGATCTTCTCCCCGTCCTCCCCAGATCATCTACCTGCGGCGGTTCAAGGACCTGCGAGCGCTCAGCCTCTCTGGGAACCCCATCGCCGAGGCAGAGGATTACAAGATGTTCGTCTGGGCCTACCTTCCTGACCTCGTGTACCTGGACTCTCGGCGGATCGATGACCACATGGCAAGTGTCTCCCTCTGGGTGTCCCAGCTCCGTGAGACAGTCCTCAGGCCCCTAGTTTCCGGGAGAGGGACCCTGAGGCAGAGAGCAGGGCAGCTCCCTCCTCCCCGCTCCTTCCTTGGCCGCTGCCGGCAGGACCCTGGTGGCCAGCCTGCGTCTTGCTCATGTGGCCAGGCTCCTTCCACCCGGCACGGCCACTCTGGGGATTCCTCTCTCTGTCTCCCGTTTGGCTGCCTCTCTGTGGTGGTGCCTGTGTATTAGGTCCGTCTGCGGAGCCTCCAGTCTGGGAGGGGTCCTGACGCAGCAGGTCTGGGGGGCTCAGTGGCGCCGCCTCCCTGACCTCTGACAGGCGCTCCAGGAATGTCCCTCGTGTGGGTCCCTCCTGTTGTAGTTGGGTCTTGACTGCTGTTGGCTCGTCCCTTGGTGGGGCTGGCGCTCGGGCTGGCTGACCCCCGTGTGTGAGCTGCCATGAGGGGCTGACCCGGGAGGCAGAATCCGCCACCAGGCTCTGGTGCCGCCGAGACCGCCCTTTGGTGCTGCTTGTGGCGCTAACGGGTTCCTGCTCTCACGTTGTCTGACCCCTGCCACCAGCTGTGTTGGTTCTGGGGCCTCTTCGGGGGGCAGGGGGGCCTGGGCGGTCAGTGTGAGACCCCGCCAGGACTGGCTCTGCGCTACCTGCTCGGAGCCACAAAGGGATCCACAGTTTGTGGCCGCCTCTGCTGGGCCTGGGGGTGCGTGGGAGAGGCCAGGCTTTGCACCAAGGTCGGCTTCCCCCAGCACCGAGCCCGCCAGCGGGTCGGCACCTGGAGACCGCCCTCCGTGCCGGCTGCTGTCACAGGAAGAGCCCGGCGGCCTCGGCGCTCCCGGCGGACGGTCACCATTAGGGGCAGGTGGTGCTGACCAGGGTGATGCGGCTCAAACTCGCACAGTGCTGGACCGAGGCCACTCAGCACCGGCCTCTGGGCCCGCCCAGGCTGGCCCCTGCCAGCTGCCCGGGGCCTCGGTGGTGGGAGGCCTCAGGGAGTGGCAGGTGGGGCCAGCAGAGTTCACCAGCCCAGGGAGGACACCCAGATTTGGCCTCGGAGGGAGGGCTGCGCGCAGGGGCAGTGGTGCTGGTAGGGCTGCGAGGGAAGGTGGCCCCTCTCTAGAGCCACACAGCTCAGCCTCTCCCTCCTCCAGAGCCTGCCAGAGCGTCTGCCTCTGGGGCCCGGCCGGCCACAGTGGGGACTCCTCTGCAGGCCCTGGGGCCTGTGGCAGTCACGAGGATGAGGATGGGGCGGGTTTCGTGGGGGTGGGGGGACAGCACCTGTCCAGTCTCTGACACCCCAGAGATTGCCCTCAGGAGCTCTCCCAAAAAAGTCTACCCCATGGGCCCCGCCTTTCTCTGTACTGTCTGATTCTCTGACAAAGAAGTTGAGGAGACAGAGTGTGAGGCTTAGCAATTGGCCAGGATCACAGCTCATGGCAGAGCCGAGATTCCCCTCCTCTGTGTAGGCCCAGAAGCAACATGACAGCAGCCATTGTGCACGTACACGCCAAGCAGACGGCATTATTTCACGTAGTTTCCACCGCAACCTGTAAGGCAGGCTCTGTTCTCACCCCCAGCTCCCAAGGAAAGCTGTCCCAGGTGGGCCGGCACACCCAGAAGCTGTCCCAGGTGGGCTGGCTCACCCAGGAGCTGTCCCAGGTGGGCCGGCACACCCAGGAGCTGTCCCAGGTGGGCCGACTCACCCAGGAGCTGTCCCAGGTGAGCTGACTCACCCAGGAGCTGTCCCAGGTGGGCTGGCTCACCCAGGAGCTGTCCCAGGTGAGCTGGCTCACCCAGGAGCTGTCCCAGGTGGGCTGGCTCACCCAGGAGCTGTCCCAGGTGGGCCGACTCACCCAGGAGCTGTCCCAGGTGGGCCGGCTCACCCAGGAGCTGTCCCAGGTGGGCCGGCTCACCCAGGAGCTGTCCCAGGTGGGCTGACTCACCCAGGAGCTGTCCCAGGTGGGCTGGCTCACCCAGGAGCTGTCCCAGGTGGGCTGACTCACCCAGGAGCTGTCCCAGGTGGGCCGACTCACCCAGGAGCTGTCCCAGGTGGGCCGACTCACCCAGGAGCTGTCCCAGGTGGGCTGGCTCACCCAGGGTGAAGGGTCTGGTACACGCCTGGGTGTGTGGAGTGAGCCCAGCGGCTGAGGACCAAGCCCGAGGGGCACCGGCATCCCCAGCAGGCACAGGAGGAGGACTGGATGGGTGAGGAGAGCCAGGAGGTGGCAGGGCACAGAGCCAAGGGCTGAGACCCTGTGACCAAGCCTGGGACTCAAGTCGGTCACTTCCCCTCCCCGTGTGCGTCTGTAAAAGAGCCAGGACGCTGCCGTGAGGGCTGTGGGCTGTGCGCCGTGAGAGGCCTTGTCATGGGGCCCACCTCTGGAATGGCCTCACAGATCCCTGGCTGCCGTGCTGCCTTCCGCACCCCTCTCGGTCCTTCCCTGCTCTCCCCAGGACTCAGAATACTTGAAAGGGGCTGTTACTGCCCTGGCCAGGTGCTCAGTTGGTTGGAACGTCATCATATACACCAGAAAGTTGCGGGTTCGAGTCCCAGTTGGGGCACACACCCAGGTTGCCGGTTCCATCCTTGGTCAGGGCGTGTGCAGGAGGCGGCTGATCCATGTTTCTCTCTCACATTGATGTTTCTCTCTCTCCCTCCCCCTCTCTCTAAAAGAAGCAATAAAAACATATCCTTGGGTGAGGATTTTTTTAAAAAGAAAGAAAGAAAAGCGCTGTTGTCCAGTCAGCATGGCTCAGTGGTTGAGCGTCGACCTGTGAACCAGGAGGTCACAGTTCGACTCCCGGTCAGAGCACATGCCCAGGTTGCGGGCTCGATTCCCAGTGGGGGGTGAGCAGGAGGCAGAGCCAATCAATGATTCTCCCTCATTATGGATGTTTCTCTCTCTCTCTCTCCCTCTCCCTTCCTCTCTGAAATCAATAAAAATATATTTTAAAAAGAAAGGAAGAACGAAAGGAAAGCACTGTTACTGGTCTGCCTCAGCCAGGGGCTGGCCCTGCCCTATAGGGTGTGGGTCAGGCGACCTGCAGGTTCCTGACTCATGCAGGAACAGTTTCACCACCGAGTCCAGGGGAAAGTGAGAGTAAGTTTATTAAAGCTTGGGACCACGAGGCCAAGGAAGGGCCCCTGGAGACAGGACCAGGGGAGAAGCCTGGGACAAGCTGCCACTGCCCATGGCTCCCCTGGGTGCACGTCTTGTGGGCACCCTGAGGGCTTAGGGTAGAAGAAGCAAAGTACACGCCCGAGAAAGGGGGACACAGGTTTGCTCAAAGAAGAGCTCACGCCGGCACCCTTTGTCCTGAGGGTTTTACCTGTTTTCTGTGGGTGGGAATTTCAGGGGCGGTCTCAGGGGCGGATCTCCAGGTGTGAGTGTAGTACTGATGTGGCCATATGAGTGGGGCGTGGGACTTGCCCCTCTGTCTTGGGTTGCTCTGCTCTGATGGTTTTTTGTTCTCTCTCTCCCTGACGAGGGTGATTAAACCACCGCTCTCGGGTGTCTCTGGTTGGAAGGACAGAATCGTGTCATTTATCAGCTGGCTGTCCGTGGCTCAGCCTGTCCAGCTGTTTCTTCAGCTGTTTGTCTGTTTCCTCATTCCACTTGCCAGGGCATTTTCCTAGGTTCTTACTAACCTGTCTCAGGGCCGTGAGGCAATGAGCCATTGTCACCCACACCTGCCCGCACGGGCCCCTGGCCGAGGCCGGTGCTCTGACACGGCCCGTCCCTCAGAAGGGGCAGGCGGAGATGAAGCACCAGTTCAGCATCGACGAGTTGAGGCACCGTGAGCGCCTGATTCAGGCCCAGCAGGCGGGAGGAGCAGGCCCGGCAGGCGGAGCTGGGAGGAGCACCAGGTAGCTGGCCCCGCTCCGAAATGCTGGGCCCCGGGGGCTCCAGTCAAGTTTCAAACAAGGGGTCAGCAGGGCCCAGGTCCCTAGAAGCCTGCCTTGCGATTGGAAACGTGTTGTGCAGCAGGGCCTAGCTCTGAGGAAGCATGTATACTGTGCTTCTTCCCAGGCCTGGGCCCCGGCCCTGCCTTGCTTTGCCCACCACCCGCCCCCAGGGCCAGCCCCGCCTCGACCCAGACCCCACCTGCCTTACGTTCTCCCGGGAGCAGGCTGTCAGAGCAGGGCCTTTCCTTGGGGCCCCCGGGTGGTTCCAGGGCACCAGGAAGGCTCGGGTCCCTGTTCAGCACGTACCACCCGCCTTCCCCTGCCGGCCAGTGCAGCCCCGTGCAGCTCTGGAGCGCCGGAG